GGGCGAGTGGGGGCGGGGCGGGGGCATCTCAGCCCACAGAGGCGTCCCCAAAAAAGACAGTCACCAGGCGGCCACTCTGGACTCCTTAAGCCATCAGCCTCATTTCCCAAAGCCCAGCACCTACTAAGTGCGCCGCAAAGCCACGGCCAGCGCAGGAGAGACCCCAGCAGGTCCCGCGCGGCCCCAGCGCGCACAGCGCTCTCGGTTTAGCCAGAGATACGCACGCCAGTGACTCATCCCGGGCGTGGGGCGGTCAGTGCCAAAACCGAAGCTTGAACAAAGGGCATCTCAGCGCGGAGATTAATTCTGATTCGAGAGGAGACCGGGTAAGGTTTGCAGAGAGTTGGCACTTGAAGTGGAGAGGTGGAAGATGAGTTCAGCAGGAAGAGAGAGGAATAGGAAGGTGAAGGAAAACGCAGGTAGGGCCAGTCTAGGGACATTTCAGGAAGTTCGCCCGTGGTTGTTACATTTCACTTTTCAAATACGTCCATTGGCTTAGAGGTAAAAAAGAGAAGGCTGCCTTGTCTGCGTCAGTCCTGGCTTAGTGCAGTGTAGTCTGGGGTGGGGGTGGGGAGGCGTATAAAAGCGCATGATCTGGTTTTGGATGCTTAGGTTGTAAAACCAAGGCAAATTATTACTTCACTTCTCCGTGCCTCAGTTTTGTAACTCTGGGCCACATTTGGAACTTAGGGCTCTTCGGGTAGTATTTCATAGGGTTGTGAGGATGAAATGGGTAAACGTTCATAAAGCATGAAGAACGGTGCTTGGCCCTAGCCGGTTTGGCTCAGTGGATAGAGAGCTAGCCTGCGGACCAAAGGGTCCCAGTTCGATTTCAGTAAAGGGTATGTACCTCATTTGCAGGCTCCTCCCCTGGCTCCTCCCCGCCAGGGCCCTGGTTTGGGCGCTTGCTCCATGTGTTCTTTCACATCAATATTTCTCTCCGTCTTTCCCTCTCTCTTCCACTCTCTAAAAATCAATGGAAAAATATCCTCGGGTGAGGATTAAAAAAAAAATGGTGCTTGACACCAGTCCTCAATACATGTCAGCTGTGACGATTTTTAAACAACCACGGTGAAGTTTGTTCGCCAAATAAGAAACCCAGTCCTGGCCTTTGCCCGGCGATTTCAGGATCGGCTTGTAATTGCACCAGGCCTCATATGAAAGGATCACTGCTTCTTCCTTGGTTTCTGAATTTCAAGTATTCACTCAATAATTATTGAGTCACACACTATGGGAATAAGGGAGAAGAAAGAAAGAATCTCTGTAGCTATAAAGCTCACAGTCTGGTAGGCAAGACAGACCAGTTTAAAAAAAAATAATTATGTTAAATGCCATAAAAGAGTAGTGTGCATGGTGGTACAAAAGAAGGTCACAGGTCATGACAGGTAACTTCTTGGTCCTCCAAATTATGATGAATCTTTGTAAATTTTTGTGACCACATTCCTGGGACAGTAAAGAGTCAAATTCCGCCTTAAAAAAAGTTATTGTCAAAGCTCACAGTCTGGTAGGCAAGACAGACCAGTTTAAAAAAAAATAATTATGTTAAATGCCATAAAAGAGTAGTGTGCATGGTGGTACAAAAGAAGGTCACAGGTCATGACAGGTAACTTCTTGGTCCTCCAAATTATG